GTTTTTTTTTTCCTCTCAAAACTTTTCAATGTAGATGATCTCATTATATATATATATATATATATGTACATACATGTACGTATATTTGTATTTTATTATTTTAATTAATCAAGGTTTTCAAAATTCGATAAATTATAAATGTTCACGACAATAACGATAATATTCACTCTGTGAAAGCAACCTTAAATCACATACATACATACACACTTATTGTGTATACGCACACCTAAGCATGCAATAACTGAATAAGTGGCTTGAACGTCAACCGTAATAATAACAATAGCAAAAACCAATCGCAGCCGAAAGCGTAAAATGGATATTTGTTGCATTTGCCCGTCCGCTTGTTAGACAAGGAAGTAGATTTTGGAGACATCTATCTATCTATGTATGACCGTAAGATTTTGAGTTAACTCGGACGTGGGCTTCTACCTGTCCCTCCGTCCGTCCGTCCGCTCGTTCGTCCGTCCACGCATACGTTCTCTTAACGGACGTTGGCGGCCGGGTTAAATTAGCCGTAGCTATCCATTCATTGAACCTTGGTTATTAGCAGCCTTGGAATTAACTTAACCATGGCCCTCCATCTGTCCATCCGCTCTTTCGTCCGCTGGTCGAACCTTGGCTGTTAACAGTCAAGCTCATTTAGCCATGTCCATTAATCCGCTCGTTCTCCCTTTCATTCGCCTGTCGAATCTTGGCTTTTACTCATCGAGCTAACTAAGCGGACTCCATCCGTCCATTTGCTCTTTCGTTCGCCTGTTGGGCTGTTAACAGTAGAGTTAATTAAGCCATGTCCATCAATCCGATCGTCCGCTCTTTTATTCGTTGTCGGACGTTTGCTGTTAGGAGTCCAGTTAATTTAGCCATGGCCGCCAATCCGGCCGCTCTTTCGTCCGACCTTGGCTGTTAACAATCGAGTTAATCTAGTCATGCTAATCCATACGTCCATCTGTCAGTAACTTGATCTATATATAAATATTTCCATTCAATGCTTGCTATGGTCGTGATCCTAATAAGCAAAAAAGGAAAAACAAATTCCACCTTAGTAGATATTTTGTTCTTCATTGGCACGAGACTCGATTCGCTTATTATTAATAAATAAATAAATAAACAAATAAATAAAATTTCAATAAATTGGAAGATGGGAGTGAAGAAACCCGATTCCCGATTGTTGAAAACATGTTGCAATGTTTGTTTAAAATGAAGTGGATATCAAGTGTTCGACGAAAACGACGAACATAACTTTCTTAACTTTTCATTTTATTAATTTTTTTTTTTTTTGTTTAACATCTAAATCGCATTGTTATGATCGTGATTGTCCGTCCACTCAATTATAATTAAATGCTTGTTAAAATTAATTGTTACTGCTTCGTGTATTGTCGGATTTTTTCTTTGTCTTTCTCGTATCGCATTATCAGTTATTTCACTTGTAGTTGTTGTTGTTGTTTTTATATTAAAAAAGATTTATTATTTTGTTATTATCTTCATCGTTTCATTTCTTTTCATACTCTTCGTTACCTTGATGTTATTGAGGTATATTAGAATTGCGTTGACTTATTTATGATTTATCGCTTTTCAAGCGAGCGCATATTGTCCGTGATGTGATCTTCTTAAAATTCTCTCGCTGCTTAGGTATGCGTAATCATACTCATAGCTGATATTCAAAGAGTATGATGTCGTTGCCAGGTCTATTACAGAGATCATTGGGCGAGTTGCGCTACCGTCGGGGATTATATATATATAAGATTCGAGATTAAATTGCAATGCGGTAGACCAATACCTTAAATACGATCCGTATGTGGCTGCAGCTTTAGTGACTGCTTGCTCGGTAAAAGCATAACATGTACCTACCGGAATATACCTTCGAGGTAGCGTCAACTATTTATTTTCTTGCCTTCACTTCTTTCCGACAAGCACGACTAGGCAGCAACTACTGCATGAATAACCGTTAAGGCTCGAAGGAAAAAACGTCCCTTTTTCTTTTTAGTCGACTATTCAAATAGTCAGTCTAACCTTCTCTTCTTAAACTGTTCAATATTTTTTAATAGCCAAACTGAGGCCTTTCTTATTTAAAATCCTAGCACATTTCTTCTTTGAAGCTCAGAGGGAGTTCACAAGGAGGAGGCAACCATTTTAATCAATCTTGATGCTTTTTAAGTAAGTTTCCCGTCTTCCTTGATAGCCTGGAGCCAGCTTATGATTTTCAATATCGACTAAACACAATTATGGACTCGCTGCAACTATTCGAGAATTTACAGTTGAACAATCTTTCGATCGTAAAATTGCTGTCGAGTCACATATTCAAATCGCGGTCGAGTTTCCTTGATATCGAGAATCTCAAACTGTCTTCTGATTTCTTTCTGCGTGAGCTGGTTTTAATCAGTCTTATTACCTTTTAATTAGGCTACGCTCTTAGCAGCCAACGTTAGCTTTTTAATATTGCGCCCTCCTATAGTCAATTCAGTAGCCAGTTTTATCCTATTTTTAAGCCGGTCCCCTATTCATGCAAGGTGACTTCTTGAGCTGAGCAGTTTTTTTAATCCATTTCTAAATGATTGCCACAGGCTTTTTGCAGTCAAGCAATGAAGCTTCTTTCGAGGTAGTCTAGACCCGTTTACTGAGTCAAATAACCCCCTTCCTAAGGAACCTGGTGTCATTGCATCCAAAGTATTATTTCGTATAGAGTTTAGACTTTAAATTTCAAGCTCATATGAATTCCCCAAAGTCGTCTATCTTTGATTTTCGATTTTAATCTTCCCTCGTCTAAACCCTTTTGACCCAAATTAGTCCTATTGATTGATATGCGATTTTCCTGGTGGTTTATCTAATCGGTTCATAGTATTCGATGAGAGTTTAAAATTCTTTTCAAGGCTTCTATTTGTACCCTCTTTGTATCCTTTTTTTCTTCCATTTTTTTGCTTAATTTTGGAAAAGCCCGCCCTTAGTGTGGGGGGGGGGGGGCCACACCCGTAAAACATGATACGGGACCACACCTCTATTTTGAAAAATATAAAAAATTGTTTTTTTTTTTGCTTTCTATTTATAAACCACAACATATGCAAGGATAAAAATTTGCGAGTGGTTCTGTAGCACCGGTACAAAAGCAGAAACAATCGACCACGCCCACTCAATATTATAGGGTTTGAAGCACGCAGAAAGAATCTTCAACGACCGTATAAACTCCATTTTCCATTTGCATGTACACCGCTCATGACCGCAAAAATTAAAATATTTGGTTCCAAATTTGGCAAACCCATTGGAAATAGTTGCGCCCAAGTTGATATTGAAAATGGGATAAAACGGAATATTATAGGGTGGACGGAACCCTTTCACCGCTTGAGTACATTTTGTCTTTCGGAGTTTTTTACTCATAGACAGCAAGGGCCGCACGCCAGCAGCCATGCCTACGCAATATCGTAGAGTATGCAAATATACTGAATCTTTTTTAGGAAAGCGGTGATGGGACACGTCTGCGTAAAGTTTTGTTACTTCTTTTTTTTTTTTTTCATTATATTTTGGTATCAAAAAGTACTTTTAAGATTTTATCTCTTATTTATGAGTTTTTTTTTTTTTTTTTTTTATTAATATAAGCAATGAAATAACGAAATTTTGCTCTAGCAGCGTTTGGTAGTAGTCATTTATAATGGCAGACCGGTTTTGTAAAAAAAAAAAAAAAATTTTTTACTTTGAGTCGAGATAAGTGCGATTATTATGTGGAGACAGACTCGAGCTTACATTTTTAGTTAGACTAATAATATTTAAACTTTCTTATTAAATGCCGTTATTTTTATACGATATTTAAAATTGTTTTTTTTTTTTTGTTTTTTTTTTTTTTGCTTTGTGTAACAGAACTTGTTTTTGCATACATGTTCATTGATCTATAAAAATTGACTTGCAAAAGTTTTTGAGTTAACGTACAAAAAGCAACAACAATAAATGAAAAATCAAATAGAAAATTATGTTTAAATATTTGTTGTATGAGATTGTGTATGTTAGTAATGCCGCTCTTAATTCACGTTCATGTGCATAGCGTGAAATTGTTATTGTCTTTGAAATTTAAATCTTTATAACAATTCCTAAGTTTTTTTTGTTTCTTTAAATACCTTTTATGCAATGTGTTGCGCTCAATTGTTTTTTGATTTGTTTTTTAATTTTTTTTTTTTTTTTTTGCCAAACGCATGCGGCGTTTGCACATCATTGACTTTGATTTTTTTTTTTTTTTTTCAAAAACTTTTTTTTGTTATTATTATGCTTCAAACGCAGCGTGATACCGTCACTGATTCTGTGATTGAATGTCGAATAGAAGATTTTTCTTGCATTTTTCCTTCTGTGCATATAGTATCCGGAATATAAAGCATTTTGAAAGGCGCGCTGTTTTTTTGTTTGTACGTTGGAAGCGCAGCATTTACCAACGGGACGACGGAAGTACAATCTATCATTCAGCTACCATTCAAAGCTAGTCTCTTTCCTAATAACTAAATATTGCGGCAAATGGCGAGTTATTGAAGTGTCGTCGATAATAAAGATTGTAAAAGTACGCAAAAGATTAACTCGTTCGCTAACAACTGTCACATATATGTGACACATGTGCTGCTGTTTCTCATCGCATGTAAGTTATTTATGTCAGCTAAAGAACTCTTGAACTCGCATTAATGTTTTCCCCAAGAGACTTTAATAGTGAACGGTTTAAAGAGCTTTATTAGGTTTTCCTTCAAAATACACTGAAAGCATTCAAAAATTTGTCGCATGAAAATTTTATTAGCATGAGAGTTTAAAGTTGAAAAGAAATATTCTTCAGCTATTTTCTGATCTAATCTGATAACACAAACATCTTAATTATCTCGAAGAGCTTACTTTGATGTTTTTCGATTACTTTTTCAAAAATATAGGATTTTTGAGGCAATGAAAAAAAAGTAACTAAATACTTGGTAAGATCGTTTCAAGCTCTTCCCTATTCTTATCGCAAATTATTTCTCTGCTTTGAACGAAATATATATTTGTGAATATATTTTTTTCTTTCAAAATTCCAGATGTTTCTCTTACATTGGAATTTTTCTTGCAAACTAGTAATGCAAGAAAATGGTGTCAGATTAAATAATAGTAGCAGACGTTTTGATAATAGAGTTGTGTTAACAGATTTTATAAACATTTGACAAATTTTTGGCGCCTAGTGGTCCATATTTTACATACCACAGAGATATGCTGCTTTTGCTCTTCACTTTGTAACAGTCAAGAACGCATATTAAGGACGTTCTACTAAATGCATATATGATGTCTGTCCGTCCGCCCGAAGTTCCGCTCACGAAGTAGGTGGGCATTCGCAGCCGTACGCATTGAGGTAACAACATGGCGCTGGAAGTATTCGGTTCATTGATAGGATCCAAGAACATATATCAAGAACGCTTTACTCAATGCATATATGATGTCTGTCCGTCCGCTCGAAGATCCGTTCACGAAGCAGATGCATGTTCACAGCCGTATGCATTGAGGTAACAACATGGCGTTGGAAGTATTCGGTTCATTGATAGGATCCAAGAATGCATATCAAGAACGCTCTACTCAATACATATATGATGTCTGTCCGTCCGCTCGAAGTTCCGCTCACGAAGTAGGTGGGCATTCGCAGTCGTACGGATTGAGGTAACAAGGTGGCACTCTATTCCGCTGTGTTTCGTTTGTTGACATGAGGCAAGAACGCATACTAAGAACGCTCTATTAAATACGTATATAACGTATGTCCGTCCTTTCGAAGATCCGTTCACGAAGTAGGTGCGTATTCGCATCGAGGTAACAACGTATGGCATTATGGCTATATGTTTGTTTTGCTAATTGGCTTAAGTTGAAAATTGAAAGCGATTCGTTTTTTACAAGTGTTTAGAGATATTGATCAGAAACCTACATTGTGACATAAAAATAATTAGATAAAATTACATGGGCAATTATTAGAGAGACGGACATGCAGAGAAGCTTCAATCGTTTGATAAAATGATTCTGCAATGATTCGTGTAACAAAAACGCTGAAGTTCAATTGCAAGCTCCCTTTAAAGTTGCAAGCATCTGCATAAACCTAATATTCTTTTACCACCAAAGACGCATTATATAAAAAGAGGAAATGACTGAGTGAAAAAACGAGTATAAGACGCAAACATATGAGAAAAAAAAAAGTTTAATGAGTCATTGTCATATTTTGTTTTTCAACAACGTCGTGTCAAAGGACGACATTCCCAGTAAAAAGGAAACACTTACAGGGTAACTGCGATCGATGAAAGACTAATCTTTAATCCCTCAACAAATTTCTTTTTTATGCATTGTGAACGCGTCAAAAAGACAGTTTACACAGGGTTCTTAAAGCCCGGTTGCCAAAGTTCATTGCATTTTTTGGATTAATCACATCTCTGTCTCCCGAATTTCAGTTTCGTGGGCACATACAGTTTGCTGGCAAACTTCTTCCCTGAAACTGGTCAGAGCCAATTTGGCTCACTCTTCAGTAACTTAGTTTGAGATCAGCGATTTCAGGGTGAATTTCTTAAGATTCCAGACGGGACGACTGATTGATAAAGGATGTACAAGCCGAAAAAAAGGAATGAATTTACATTTGGGAATCGCACCAGTATCACCGTGGTAGTAGGTGGCATAACTCTGAGAATATATTGGAAGATTTTCATCACACTATCAATCGTAGTAGGTTATGAAGAATAAGCACAAAAGTCAAGTTTTTTTTTTTTTTGCCTTGAACCGAGAGGTGTTCTTAGTTTATTTTTTTACTCTAGACATATCGTTTGATCGATTTAGTTCACTTTTAATCTGACGCTGTGCGTGGAAGAAGTATATAAATTTTTATTCTTTCTTGTAGTTGAAAAATAGCGAGCGAAAAAATCATTTTTTTTTCCCTTTTTTAAAAGCAGAAATATTCTCAGTTTAAGTCGCGCTGTAGGCATATCCCTGAACTGATTTGCTCCATATGCAGTGCAAACTTACGTTGAAGAATTTCCAATGTTTCTATTAAATTTGAGCCGTATAGGGCCCTTTTTTCAACCAAGATAACGTTTGCCAAAAACGGACGGAGGGACATAACATAGAGATCAAGAACGTATATTTTTTATGATATCGGCTTCAGTAATACAAGTCCTATTGCTTTATTTTTCCAACTGAGACAATGTTTACCGCAGACGGATGGAGGGACGTACCTAAATCGATTTAGGATTGATACAAATCCAGAACATAAATTTTTTACGATGTCTCTAATGTCTTTGGCTTTCGTAATCCAAGCGTTTTGATAAACTGAATATACCTTCAATTTTCCCGGGCATGGGTATGAAAACAAATTTGTATATACCAAAATAACAATAAAGATGCGACATTTACTCAATCCCAAGTAAAGGAAAAAAAAAAAAGAAATTTTTTTTTTCTTACAAAGCGGCGGGCGTTTGCATCATCATCGTATGTACATTCCCCTAAAACTATCATTTATAAGAAAAGAAAAAACAATTTAAAATCGTACGGAAATAATGTAGTAAATACACTTGTCTCTCAATTTACGCGACAACCCTTCGAATGGCTTTCATCTATAAGAAATACTTCAAGTATTTCTTTGCCTGATGTGTGTGTAGTGCTCTAATAATGCGATAAAGTACGCATTTTAGCATAATGTGTTCTTTTCCAATTGATTGATTGATTGATTGTTTGATTGATTGATTTGGTATTGATTACTTTGAAAGGAAATTCTAGAAGCTTTTAAACTCAACCCATGCAATGTAGGCGTGTGAATGTTTCTTCCTTCGATCGGTGCTGCTTCGGTAAGCGTACCGCCTCTGCTATGCTTTTCTACAGAAAAGAAAAGACAAAATAAGCGGGCCTCCGCGTAAATCGAGGGCGCACGACAACAACAATAATAATAATAATATTTTTTTTTTATTGTTTATGACAATTTAAAGCAGCTGCCATCAATACAACCCGAAAAACAAAGCACAGCGCATTATAAACAAACATTTCTTTTAACCATAATCGAAAGCGTGAAAAAAAAAAAATGAAAGAACGAATGGAAAAAAGGGGAGATTTTTGTTTCGCTTATTATTATTATTATTATGTTACCGAGCCATAAACTTATACAGATGCATGTTTGTGTATTCTTCAATTTGAATTTGACAACAACAATAAAGCCACACATTAACTACCACTTTTTTTTTGTATTTTGTTGTTTATGCAAAGAAACAGAAGGAAGACAAAAAAAGAAAAAAACAAAAAAAAAAAACACTATTACGCTACAAAATTATTTCAACAGTTTCTGTAGAAAGTGGGTGAATCAAAAGCACAAAAAGAATGGGAAGAGAAGAGATTTACATAAAAACACCCTTTTGTGTTACAACTCCTTTTTTTTTATATTTTTCAAACTTTGTTTAGTGTTGTTTTTGTGCTCAAAAGGGGTTAATTGAATCCTGGTCACTTGAGTGGGATATAATCGATTTTCAAGATATACTTCAATTAATTGCTTTCAAATGAAACTAATTTGTTAGAAAAAAAATAAATAAATAAATAAACGACAAAGAATTACAATTTTCAAGTATATAAACACAGTTTGAGGAGCACTAAAAAAAAGAGGATTCTTCCAATTCAAATCAATCTTTGATACCAATCTTCTAACGCGTTTCTACGTAAATTCCAAAGAAAAATTCGCCATTTACCTCATATCCGCTGATCAATGACGGCACACTACTCGTAGGAGTTCAAAAACGCTTTTGGTAAGTTCTTAAAATACTTCAATCACTCGGGGGATGTTCACTGTTCCCTGTAAGCGTATAATCAGACAGAAAAAAGAAAATGAGTCAGAGATCAATGACCGATTGGTAAGCGTTATATGCCATTATGTACCGGGCTGCGATAACACACTAATCGTCGCCTAACATCGCTATATATTGATAAATCGAGTGATGGACACGGAAGGAGAAGTGGAGAAAGAAATATAGGGTGGGAGGTCTGTAATTGGTCGATGAGTGTTATATGCCATAAATAAAATCTGGTCTACCATCGTTTTATATTTATAATTACTGTCATGGTGAGGGAGGACACTCTCGCCCCCCCCCCCCGGGGGGCGCCCCCCCCTCTATGACCAGCCGATAAGTGTTATATCTCATTGCCTATCGAGACACCTATCGTAATTAAAGTATAGTATACCATCGCTACATGCTTATTAGTAGAGTTATGATCACGGAGAAAGAAGTAGAGAAGGAAGAATAGGGCGGGTGATCTGTTATTGGTCGATAAGTGTTATAGGTAATTACTTTGCGAGCTACGACTCAAATTAAAGTAAAGTCTACCATAGCGCTATGCTCTGAATCGGCACTACGCTTCTTCTTTTTCTTCATCTTCCTTTGCTGCTTCTTAACCAATCGGCTAAGCCGTAAACCTTCCAGCTGCAAGCTGCTGTACATGTTCCACAATTTTTAAGCAGAAAAATCGAGTAAATCGTCTCCGTATCGAATTGAAAAGTATATCCGTATTTTAGATGCCATTGTTCTTGTGCTTAGGGATATCAATTAAATAGTTTCAGATTGAATTTAGAAAGTGATACGCGCTTTTGTGGAAGAAAGACATGGTAGGCTTTTATCGATAGGAACTCTTCTTTATATGCTGGCTTGATGCTAGCAGAAAATCAAAAACTTCTGCGGTGTTGTTCATCACTTTAAAAATTGTAAACTGTACCTAGAAGGCAGAAGGTGGGGTTATTGAACTCAGACTATATTCCATGTAAGACTTTCACTTTTTATTGGTTTCTTTTGCTAGCTGGAACTTGTTTGAGCATAGTCGCATTTTCCGTAAAAAAAGCCGCAAGGTAAAGTTCTTGCTTTGCGTGCGATGTGAAAAGATAAATTTACGCGCAGACGTTAAGCTTGATTGAATGAATGTAGGAAGGGGATGGTCGTTACATCAAGAAAAGTAGACGTATGGACGGGCGAAGGGCCGTCAGATAATGTAATGGGAAGAAGCAAGTATGAAGATAAGGACTTAGTTAGCAAAGCGGCATAAAAGTTGGGTGGAAAGATAAGTAGTAGAGAAAGAAGATGAGGAAGAAAAAGAAGAAGTGGAAGAAAAAAAGTTGAGTGAATCTTAGTTGCATTCAGGTTTCATGCTACTCCTGGAAATTGGTACACAAAGCTCTTTTTGGTGATTGATTCTCGTGAAAAATGTATTTCTTTCGTATTTTTTTTTTTTTTTAGTTTCAATTTTAAGGTAGACGAACTTTCCCTTTAACCCTTTGTTTTTTCCATTTATTTTTTTTGTTAGGAAAAAGTTCGTTTCTTCTCTTTTTTTGTAAGGCGAATAAGCATTAAGCTCACTGTTGGCCGTAAAGTTCTCTCTTCATTTTCATTTTTTTTTTGAGGTTATGTCTTAAAATGTGTATCATAATTTCTATTAAAAATTCAACTTAAAAAAGTACCATTTAATGAAATAAGAGCATACTTTTAATCCTTCTTTTTGTACCCGTCACTAACGGCTGGAGGTATATTCACTTTTTGAGAACGTTTGCAACATTCAGCAGCAAATTATAGAGACCCATTAAGTGATATGCATTGTTGATCAGCATCAAATTGTGAAACGATTTAGGAATGTCCATCTGTCTGTCTGTCTGTCTGTCTGTCTGCAGCAAACATTATCCTAATTGCAAAAGTTAAGATATCATATTCAAGTTTGATAAAAACATTGCAGACAGGTTGCTATTGATAATCGGTGAAATCTGTCAAAGAACACGCCCATAATACAACATAAGCTTAAAGAACATTTTTGTTTTTAAAATAAGATTGCTATAGAAGCCCCACATATGCTCTATGCAGGGTAGAACAGTGTCTGCAGAAAAGTGAAAAAAACCTGCCCATACAACAATACACACTATTAAAATTCCCTTGTTTTTGTGTGCGTGCGTGCGTGCATGCGTGCGCATTGTGTGTGTGGGTGGGTGGGTATCAAAAATTCGATCACAGCCAAATGTTATTTTCTTACCTTTTTTTTTTTTCCTATAATTTTTCATACTTTTGTAATAAGACCCGTGCGCGGTAATGGCGACGGCAACGGCAACGGCAACGGCTGCAACATGCCCACACAGCTGGCGAAAGTATCGAGCTATGGAAAACGCAGTTCTGTAAAGGGTTTTCTTACTGAAAAATTCTGCGCACATTGTAAACCAATTGGTTAAGCAACTAGCCTTTAAGTTGTTAAGCTAAAGAATTTTGTCTATGTGTGTACAACGGAGCTTCTTAGCAGCCTGTAGACTAACGGAGAGCAGCATTCTAACGTTTTTATAAAATAGAAGTGAAACAAACCCTTCAACATAAGAAGTCGCTTTTTTTTCTTTTTTCTATAAAAAAAAAAGTGGTAATTTGATACTTGGCCAAGCAATGACCTAACAATCACTAACAAGAAGTATTTTTAGCAGCTAGCCAACCTCACAGTCATCAACCAGTCACCAACAAACAAACATTGACTGTAAACGAAACGAGACTTGAAAAGTGGAGATTAGAGAGAAAGCAAAAATCAAAAGGCAAAAACAAAAACCACAACAAAAAAAAACACTTAAAACCACGAGAATTAAAAACTTAAAGAGTTGAAACTGTTAAATGTTAGAAGAAAGAAAAAAAAGAAAAAAAAAAAACAGAAAGAAATAAAGAAAACACCAAGAAACAAAAAACAACAACAACAACAATTTAACATGACAACAATTACAGACAGTAATGAATACAACAATCGAGAGCCTTATAGTAAAGAAAAAAATCAACAGAAAAATTTCAAGTAAACAAACAAACAAATAAATAAATAAATGAATGAATGAATGAATGAATGCGAATAAAAAACAATGCGAACGAGCAAAGTAGTCGTCGATACCTATAAAATAAAACAATAACAGGAACGACAGTAGGCAAGGCAAGCAAACAAAACAAAAAAAAAAATATATATATATATATATTTAAAATAACATGCGATTTATAATCGCAAACTAAAAGCAACTAACATGCGATATATAATCGGTCAGGTAGGTGACGGCTTATTTGATGATAACTTACAAAGCATGCAATATGTGGAGCATGAAAGAGAAAGAGAGAAAGAGAGAGAGAGAGAGAGAGTGAGAGAGTGAGAGTGAGTGTAGCAACAATAACGTAAGCCTTTTTTTTTGTGTGATGTTGGCACAAGAGAGAATTAAATCGATTTCAAAAGGATTTACGAGAAATAAGGCTTATTTTGCTAGCGTGCACAAACATTGTACAGGTGTGTGTATAATTTGTCGATATTCTTTCCCTTGTCGTTATTGCGATGTTGTGTTAAAAAGTAAATATACAGTTAAGTAATACTCAGTGAGGCAGTTACAAATAACAACAACTCTCATGTATGGCATGACATGTAAATTCTGCATACAATTGAAGCGCGTTGATCTGTCCATATATCATTTATGTTAGTAATAAAAAAAAAAATTAACTCTTGTGCAGTTATGTTTGAATTAATAGTTAATGATGTTAATTGCCTGATCATTGCATCACTTTGTTTTACTACAACGCCTAGTAAAGAATTTAATGAATTTATAAAAAAAGTTATCTTTTGAAAAAATGACTCAAAGTTGTGACAGTAATATATCCCGCCTTTGTAGATAGTTAAAAGCGTGGACTTACCATGTAGATAAAGAAGCTTAGAGTTACTTCTATATATGATTAATTAAGAAACGATGAGTGATTTGTTAATATATGCATTTGTCAGACGAATTCAGCGAAATGGCATAAATGATAATAATCTAATAAATGTTGTTAGCATTTCTTCTATCATGGCAACTCTTATCAGGCGTAGGGTTAATATGTTCGGTATATTAAAAATTACATGTCTTTGCAAATAAAGGCTTCGACATTTAGAAAATAATTCCGAATCGATCGATGGGTGTGCTGTGTACCAAATTTTATCAAACTATCTCAACAATTGCGACCTGGACCTTGAACGCAAACTTACATAGACAGAAATCAGACGGACAGTCGGATAGACAGACTTAGATAGATTTAGAAAATGATTCTGAATCGATTGGAATAATAAAAGTGGGTCCTATCTTAAGCGCTCTCGCATGTTACATACGCTCGCATAAACTTAATACACCACAAGTGGTGTAGGGTACAAAAAAGCAAAAAAAAAAAAAGGAGCAGCCATTATTTTCTTTTCTTACGATTAATAGCATTCAACACATCTTAAAATTTAATGATTTTGCTCCCAGCACTTCGTAATGCCCATTAATGGCATTTCGAAAGGAATGACACTCACCTCTTCACTCTAATCTCGTTAACATGAAATCATTCTGTTGCTATTGCAATATGATGTGAAAACATCTCCTTCAGTTGGGTGAATAGGGGAGTGTTTCCTTGTTTTTAACTCATCTTATCCTTTCTGTTGTTATTTGTATGCCTTGTTGTACTAATGAAAGAGAATGACAAAGAAATGAAAGATGGTTAGTTACGAATGGTGGATGATATTTAAGGGTGTTGAAGTGAGAAGGGAGAGTACAAAAACTAAAGAAAAAATAAATAAATCAATTAATATTCCTTGCGGTTAAAAGTCGGTTCCTGAAAAAGCTGTCTCCCTACTTCTCATATCAATTTCTTTTCCCTTTGACTTACCTTATCGCCAATGACATTTCGTATACATTATTGTACATACATACGCATTATCTATTTCACACTCATTCATATATGCTTTCAGATTCCCAAAGTAATTTATT